AATTCTTTCAAAAAATTTTTGTGCCTTTGTTCTGTTACAATACATGAGAATAAAAGAACATTAGTTGCTTGTGAGTGAGTGAACCTGATTAGAACTGCCTTCAGAGGAAAGTCTGGAGCTAAGATGAGCTGTGAGCTGGCTGTCCTCTGGCAGAGTTGCCCTCAGACAGCTGCCAGAACACAAATCAACACATCTTTGCGTCTCAACCGTGGCTCTTGTCAAACATTTTCACCCTTTGTTGGCCAGTAACTTTTGACACTATTTTTGAGGTTCTGCTGAAGTAGCTCTCTCTCTCGTGTGTGTATGTGTATGTGTGTATGATATATATAGAACCTTTGTGTATCAGTGTTAGCATCGTATGTTGATTGCTTATGCTAATTGGGAAACATTAAGGTTAAATCTATTTTAAGTAGAGTAGCTGATTTAAATGACTCCATTTCAAAGGACACTTCAATAATTCTTGTTTTTTAAATCTGCCTCTGAATGTTTCCATTCCCTATAGCAAAATAAATAAATGTACAAACAGCTCTTACTGAAACAACAGTGATATATTATTTTGTTGAGAGAAAAAATGAGATTTCAAATGTGGAAAGGGTCTAGGATGTTACCACTGCTTTTAGAAATGTATATACATTACCTGTTTTTTTTTTGAACAAGTTTGAATTCAGTGAAATTTGCACTTTCTCAAATAAATTGATGAATTTCAAATATGTTTCTTGCAATCACACAGTCTTAATGTACTTATCACACTACCTTCTAAGTTTTGTTAATCTACCTTACATGAATTTGCCTGTAATTTTAATGAGCCTATGTGTAACATTTTGTATTCTGCATTTATGTATACATTTTCCTGTATTAGCATAAATTTCATACTTACTATAGTAACGATGCATAATACAAATTTGACAATATAACATCCCATAGGGTTGAACTGGTTCCCTTTTGTTCAGTTGTGATATTAATAATAGCAGTAATAATGACTACTGTTCATCAACTTTTTACACAGTAAGTATCCTGTTAACATCTTTTTTACAAAGTAGAGACCAAGCTTAGTTTGTTATGTGGAAACACCTAGACTTTAGAATTTTATATATTTGGGTCTCTACTATCTGCGTGATGTTAGTCAAGAAAAAATTCCCTTCAATATTCTCCTCTGGAAAAAAATAAGAGTAATAATAGCTGGCTTGTAGGCTGTACCTACCACTGTCTGGCACATGGTAGGTGTTTAAGATGTGCGGGAAGGGAAGACTGTTGTTGGTAAGTACTTCCAAAGATGATGTAACCAGGTGCATAAAATGAAGAGATACTATTTTGTGTATATTTCCAAATGGATTGCCAGAGTAATTAAGTGGTCAGTATCACCAACAATGTGCTAAGTGGTTATTTTTTGTATGTCAAATTCTCGCCAAGTGTGTCTTTCCATCATTCTTCTTTTTTGTTCTTTAGTTATTCATTCAAAAATAACAGAGCCTGTCGTGCACTGAGCATTTCTGAAGTCACTGACTCCAGGTTGCAACTGACATGAGGGTGGTGCTCTCTGACATTCAAAAGGCGTCAAAAGATTCGGTCAACATCTAGGCCAGTGAATGGGCAGAAGTGTGTGTGGAGTGTGTGTGCTTGTTTACATGTGTCTTCCCAAGAAGACCATAGTTGGTCATCTTGATATATCACGCATGTGAATAAGATACGGTCTCCTGCGAAAGACATATGTAAATAAATAATGACAGTATGAATCATAAAAATAGATTTATGGATAAAATGTTATGGGCTTATATTTCTGCCTAGTGGATTAAAGATGGCTACAGAATCCAGTTCTGAATTAAAAAAATTTCTGAAGTGAAGGCCAACTTGGCAGTTACATAGAGAAGGGCCCAAAGTTAAAAGACGCAGTGCACCCCTAGAAAGCAAGATGCAGGGTCTGGTGTGACAGTGCCGAAGGCCCCTGTGTGTCTGGCCACCCTCGTCCTGTAGCTGCAGTGACTGTGGTGGACGGTTAGTGTTGGAACAGGACGGTGAGAGAGTGAGCAGGGCCAGACCTGACAGAGCACAGGAACCTGGTAAGTGCCCTGTACCTTCCATGTGACAGGGACAAAATGCATATTTTGCTCCACAGCACTCAGAATAACCCCATTTAAGAGGTGATGGGAATGAGGCTTTGCATATAAAGGAACTTGCCCAAGGTCATACAGCAAGAAAATGGTGCAGCTGATATTCAGACCCAGTCTTTGAGATCAGAACCCCTCTTCTCTTCACCAAAATGCAATTCATATCTAAATGGGAAACCACTTAAGTGTCTTTTCATTTATTTGGGTTTAATTAACTTCTCTGAAGAGAAATCTTTGGGATTTTATTCTGTGTTTACTCAAACTTTATCAAAAGCACAAAGCAGATGTTCTATAAAACTTACTTCAACTTTCTTTGGTATCTTTCAAGCACCAATACTTCCTCTTCATCTATGGTTTCCTTGTGTTATGTAGCAGATTCTTTTTTATATAATCTTCATGCTTTGTTTTGTTCTACTTCGTAACCCGTTTAGCCATCCTTAGGTGCAACCTGACCCACTGGTGCCCTTATATAGGCTAGAAGGAGTATCTTTTAAACCTGCTTGGGGTTTCTCTGTTTGCTCGTATAATCTTCTTTTTCAGGTCTTTATCAGGAAAGCTGGTCACCTAAGTTACCTGTCATTCTGGTGGCAGGCACATATGGGGAGGGAATGAGACCTGGAGATTTCCTTCATGAGAATTTCATCCTGCCATATTGAAAAATGACACTTACCCTGGTGGCCAACTGTCTTTGTCCATCCTCACTGGCCCAGCCTGTGCCAAGCAGAGTGTTGCTAAATCCTTCTGGTGCTTCCTCCAGGGGAAAGTCCCACTGCCCCCAGAATAAGCCCTGCTGTACTCATTACATTGTCCCTGGGTCTGTGTAGGGAAGTGGATTCCCACCGCCTGCTTCCAGTCTGCCCTAAAGCACCCCCTCTCTCTAATATCATCCCCTCCAAATTGAGAACTAACAGTTCTCCAGACAAGAAATCAGCCAATGATTTCTGTAAAGGGCCACATAATAAATATATTTTAGACTTTGCAAGTTATACTGTTTCTTTCGCAACCTCTCAACTCTACTCTTGTAGCAGGACAGCAGCCAGAAATGAATGGCTGTGGCTGTATTCCAATAAAACTTTATAGACTCTGAAATTTGAACCTCAAATAATTTACAATTATATGATTCTTTTGACTTTTTCCAGCGATTTAAAATTGTGAAAACTGAGGAGGGAGAGTGTCACTCAGTGGTAGAGCCCATGCTTAGCATGCATGAGGTCCTGGGTTCAACCCTCAGTCCCTCCATTACAGAAATAAATAAATAAACCCAATTGCTTCCACCTGAAACAGTCAAGTCCAGTGACTCCAGCACCCCCTGCTGAAGATGGAGTGTCAAAGTCTCAGAATCTACAAGTGAGAAAAAGGAAAATCCACCAAGTGCGGAACTGGGATGCTGACAGGACATTCCAAAGACTACTTGTCTGAAAACCAGGGGAGAAGCTCACTGAGAAGGGAGTAATTGTGCAGATTCGAGGAAACTCTCCTAGTGTCATGTTCGTATTACTGAAGGAGACAGCATTAAAGTTGATGAAATGTCAAAAACAAACAAACAGACAGACAAACAGAAGTGTAAGAGCCATTCTTAGCTTGCAGGCTGCCCAAGCAGAGGGCCACAGTTTGCCAGCCCCTCTGCCCCACCCAGGCAGGGTGTGAGGCCCTCTCTTCCCTGGGGCACACCAGGGTCTTATCAGGGTCTCCCATCTGGCTGGAGCAGCATTTCCTGATTCCTTGTGATAGAGCCGTTTCTACCTGGAGTCTTTGCATTTCAATTTTCTCCTCTGTTGGTGGGTCCTTCCCCCTGGGGATCTGGCCTTAGGAAAGGTGGTTAGGTTTTGTTAGCCAGCATGTATCTGATCTAGTAGTGAAGATGGATTTTATTCATCTCTGCTCTGTCTGGAAAATGTGTTATTTTACCTTTTGCTCTTCTCCAGGATCCTCTTCAATTGAACTAAGTTAAACTGACTACTGACCAGTTTGTAATCTTTGATTGAATATATTTGAACTTCATTTACATGATTTTTAGATTATTCTTTCTACTTTTTCCTCTTGAGATTGTGTTGCAAGCAGGAAGATAACTTTGGCCAGTAAATGAAAGGATTGACAAAACAAAGTGTGAATTGAGACAAAAAATATATGCCCAATCCTACTTTTGTTTTGGCTGTTTATTCATTTATTTACTCAGCGAATATTTGTATGTGCCAGGTACTGTATCCCAAAACAAGATCTCACTTTATATATTCACAAGCAAGGGTGAGGAGAATACCATGCTTGTCTTCTAGGGAACTACAGGGGAGACAGAAATACGTCTTTATATAATCCTCTTGACATCTGTTGTTCCTGTTGCAAGTCACATGGAGCACAAGTAAGCATGTGAAGAGGTGTGCGCTCTGCACACCCCACCTGACACGGATACACGTCCATGTGCGCAGACGGTAGAGCAGGACTCTGGGTCAGTTCTGCTCTGAGCCTTAAATGTTGTAAAGTGAGAGATTACCTACATCGCAGTTTTGTTGTCAAGACTAAATGAAATTTAATGCTATAATGCTCAGCACATAGCAGCCCCCCCCAAATTACATCAGAGTAAGTTAAATTTTTTTGTTTAGTTTTTTATTGATAAATGAATAGCCTTCCAGTAACATGAAACCAGTTTACTACTACATTTTTACTTTTTAATGGCTACATAATCAGTAACCACTAAATTTATTACTTCTTTACTGACTACACAGATGTTTCTGTGGCTGTACTGCTCAGTATATAGAAAACAGAGGTGTGTAAATAAAAGCCTTTCCATTGGATTGGTTCTCTGACTTTTTTTGTAATGCTGCAGGTTAGAAAGATACTCTCGTGCAATTGCTATGAAACGATGTTTGTTGACTGACCGTCATCTCTGTGTCTGTTTAGATCTGAACCTGATGGCACTCACTGCACTGACCAGTTGCTCGGTGGCCTGCGGGCTGGCTGACCTGTGCCCGCTCCCGTCATGACGTGCACCATTACGGCTCCTCACTAGTAGGTGTTCTCTCTTCAATACCATTTATGTGGTTGTATGTTGAGAATTTCACGGAATGTGCACTTATACTGAAAACGTGTTTGTGTTGCTGTTACGAAATATGGCTAGACCAGTCTGAGTACCAACCAATTGCAAGATGAAAGAGTACGTTTAGATGTATCCATTATGTATGTATGTGCATATTAATATGGTAATACATGTATGTCTGTATAGGAAGAACTTAGAGGTATAGCATTGTACCTCTCTTTTAACAGAATAAGAAAAGTCCCTGGAAAATTCACTGTCTTTTGGTTCTTTAACATCATATAAAACTGGCAATGTAAGCCTGAAATTTTGACTTAGTTTAATGTTTTGGAACAGTTCAGTTTTATTGTAGTTTTACCTAGCGGGGTATCTGATACACTTCCACCTACAGGAGTATCCTAGGGTAATTGACATGGGATGCTTATGGTGTCATTGAAAGGTATTATACTCAGTGGCAGAGATCTTAATTTTAGTTCCAGCTCCAACATTAAGGGACCTGACTAGTCCCCTGAATCTCTAGGCCTCAGTTTCAATCATCTGCAGATGAGAAGAAGAATTTCTGTTTTACCTAATTCACAAGATGACTTTAAAGGACAAATGAGGTAATGAAATATGACAAGTAGGGAGCTGGAAAAAGAAGTCGTGACTGACTGCAATTTTCTTTTTAAATTGACTATTAGAGTTTAATCTTTTGTATGTTATTCACCTACGAGATACATGATAAGATTATATTTAATTGTAATTCATGACCCAAATCTTTTATTATATTTGGGAAAGTTATGATTGAATGAAACATGAAAAAACACATCGCTCACACACACTGCACACACAAACCTCCACCGACTGTGATAGTTACACTTTTGCATCTGACCTCCAGAATATTAACTCTATTAGAGATTATTTTTAAGTGTTTCATACTTGGAGCAGACAAGATACCCCAGATACTTTTTATGTATAGTTTAATTTCAGGATACTAAAGAAACAACGTAGAAACCTGATCAGATATTACCCATTCAGTTTAATATATTACATTTTTTTGTTTATTGAAATCTTTTTAACACTTCATACGACCATTATCTTTAGCCAACAGAAAGTAGCTAGCCTGTTTAAAATAAAGGATGGAAAGTGAAAGTCTTGACAAATATATTTAGCAATATTCAGAAAGACTTTTCCAGTAAAATTTTTAAAAAATTTTGTAACCAGGCCAATGCAGTAACACTGGTTTGCAAATTCTATTCCAAAAATTAGATATGATTACCATTGACAAGGCAATGGTAATACACAAATCAAATTTTTGTATATAAGTGAAACAAAAATCTTAATAACTGGAAACATAATTATTTGCTGATATTGTAGCATAATTGTAATTATGGTTGGAGGCTAGAGTTAGATTGCCTGGGGTTGCAACCCAGTTCCATCATTTTCCAGCTTTGCAGTGTGGGACAAGTCATTTAGCCCCTCTGTGCTGTAGTTCCCTCATCTGTGAAATGAGTCTGGGTGTAAAAGCACTTATCTCGTAAGGTTGTGTGAATTCCATGAGTTTGTGTGGCCGAGTGCTTGCAGTGCTGTGTGACGCTTAGTGGTAACCAGTCAGCACTAGTGATGACGACCCGCTGGATGAGCATGGGGTTATGGCGCTGCCCATAGATTTTGGAATCAGACAGCTGTACGTTCAAAACCATTATCAATTAGTGGTGAAACCTAAACAGTTACTGGACTTTTTGAAGTCTTAGTTTCTTAGAAATCGAATGGAAATAATTAAAATATACTCCGTAGTGCTTTTATTAGAATGATTTAACACAACGTCTAGCAAGAAGAGGTAGTGATCACCTTCACTGGGAGTTGTGAAGGTATAATCTGTAATGCAAGGATAAAGTGACACAAATCAGAGGTTCTTTGGTTCTGAAAGTGTCTGCCATGTTTAAGGGGCTTTTAGAAATGTGCCCAATTACAAGATTTGCTTTGTTAGCTCCAGAATTTCAAAAAAGACAAATAATTTAAATCAAATTACAACTACAAATATAACAAATACGGCATCCTGATTTAAAAAGTAAAAATGACAGAAATCTATTGGTGTTTTTTAAGGTCCAACAGGGACTATCAGCTCATTATTCAGTTTGTTAGGAAGGATGAACTGTCACCACATTTAAAATGACTTTTTTTTTTTTCTGAAAAGAGAGAAGAAAGGAGATGGACGTGTAGAATATGCGTCACAAAACGATGGAGAGGGCGGGTCTGAACTTTGACTTCCGTAGTAGTGCACTCTGTCAGGCTGTATGCATGTTCTCATTATGAGAAATTTGAAGTGTTGTCTTTGGGCTCGTATTGGACAAAATTCAGTGGTTGGAATGGGTGGCGTTTTTTTCCCAAGTGAGCCAGGATTCGTTTCCGAGGAGGAAAGTACTGGTAACTTGGGGCCGTAACCCGAGAGTGAACTGCCTGCCTGCTGTGTATCTCTCAAAACAGAAGCCAGGTCTCTTCCCCTCACTGTGGGCTACAGACCACATGGAGCGGGGCAGTGCCCACTCAGTCCACCTCCGTCTCCGGCCAAGTCAGCAGCCGGTCTCTCTGGCTTGTCTGGATCTCAGTGTCGAGCATTACGGAGTGCTTCTCTGCACACTGCCTTTTATTCCTGTTGTTTACTTCTGCAGTAACGTAAGCTTTTCCAGAGTTTGTGTGTGACAAGGAAAGTCGTGGCTGTGGAGAAGGCTTTTGAGGGTAGGTTTTGGAGGTGGATTCTGAGGTGGGAGCCCACGAGCTGTGGACATGGGGTTAGGCTTGGCTGCCCCTCTTTGGGGCCCTGAGTGAGAGACGGCCATGGTGCTTACTGTGTCCTGCTTCTCCGGGTCCCTGGAACATCTGTACTTCCGTTCTTCAAAGTGGCCGGCGTTCACATTTTGAACTCTCATGTTAGGGTTTAGGATGCAGGAAAAGAAAAAAACGGAGTCGTGGTGTTAGATGCTAGTCTGGAACAAACGGATGCTTGCATGTCCTTACTTATTTTCATGACAATTATGCATTTGTGATGCTTATCTTAAAATGTATTTGTGACTTTAGAAGTCTCCTAAAGGAGTCTGACTTAGTCAGATATCAGTCTGATAACTTCGTTTAACAGTATGTCTAAAAACTAGAGAGAAGTGACAGAGTTTGGAGGAGACATTGGGCATCTGGAACTGAAGTCCGCTGTCATCTGGAGAAGGAGATAGATGAGGCCTTTGTCAGTGGGAATGTAAGAATGGGTGGACTTCGTCAGGCTGTCACTGTCAGTGTAACATAGTCATGGTAAGGAGCTCTGCATAAGCCTCAGCTTCACTGCTGTGAATGAGCAGGAGGTGTTCGGAGAGGAGCCTCTGCTGCAGTGACTCAGGTAGGCTCAGGTGGGTGGCGGATGCCCCAGAGAGCTTTATGCGGCCCCTCCCATCCATCTGCTGCAGGTCCCCTCCGCCTCTTGGCTGCCTGAGCCCCATGTGCAAGCACCTGGTCTCACCTATGTGACATCACAAACCTCCTCGTGTTTGCAGACGCTGCCTGTCAGGCTCTGACTCTTCCTTCCAGACTCATGGTACCTGCTCTGCCATTTGTCCTTAGTCCTCCTCTTACAGTCGACTCTTCCCTCCTTCCCTTTCACCCCTTACTGTGCACACGCCTCTGTGATTGACCACGTTCACGCCTTTTGCAGGCATCAGTTTACATTTCTGTCCTAGTCCATTCCGGCTGCTAAAACACCCCCACTGAGTAGCTTGTAAACAACAGAAATTAATTCTTTAAGTTCTGGAAACTAGGAAATCCAAGATTAAACCCTGAAAGATTTGATATGGTGAGGGCCTGTTTCCTGGAAGGCCATATTTTGCTGTGTCTTCACGGTGTGCAAGTGGCAAAGGAGCTCTCTTGAGCCTCTTTTATGTTTCATAAGGGCACTAATCCCATTCAGGAGAGCTCCACTCTCATGACCTCATAGTCACCTCCCAGAGGCCCACCTCCACAGACTCACACTGAGCATTAGGATTGAGCAAATGAATTGTGGGGTCACAGAAATGTTCAGCCTTTAACAGTTTCCATTCTTCCTGTTACTTTCTTGTCTTATTGAGGGCAGTCCTTGTTTTACTCAAGTCCAGTCTTCTATTTCCAGTGTCTACTGCTCAAAAAATAGTTGCTGGTTAAACTAATGATTGAAACAGCAGTAGCCTCTTTCCTCAGATTGAACAGGAAATAATTGCATTTACCATGTCAAGACGATTTCTCTGAAATATCTTTCAAGATTGATATTAGCTTAAAATTGTTATTAACATAAGCCTGTAAAAAGTATAGCCAGAAAAATAAAAAGTGGCCAGTATAACATACCGTGATGGTTATGTCATTTTAAACATTTTTATCAAAAGTTAACAGGGACTTTGAAAATGTATAACGTACTCTACTGACTTCCTTATTTATCATCAAGCATATTATTTTTAGAATAGCTTTTCAACAGTGATGAGAATTATTTGACCTCATCTGGACTGAGGTTAACTTGATTTCCTTCATGTAAATTAGTAAGAAAAAAAAAAGTTCTTAAGGTTTTATTTTATTATATTAATTATATATAATACATATGACATGTATACATACGTATTTCATATGTTCATAGAAGATATGTAATATTAATATAATTTGAGAAAGAAGAATGTATATATTAAGTGTAATTAAATGTTCTTAGTGCTGGTTTTTAATAAACAGAGGGAAAAAGAACTGAATCCCCCAAACCCTGCTAAGTCAATAAACAAAACCTTAGCTATATAGTCAACTGAAATTTTATCTGAAATTATTTCAGTAACTGTATATCAGTCAGATGAGGACTTAACATTGTTTAAATTATTCTTGAATAGTACCATTTTTGCAGGAGAGACCATTAAGTCCACTAAATCAGCGTGGGAACACTGGCCCCTCATCTTTGTTACTCAGCGTACATCAGTCATGTCTGAGGCATCCGTAGGGGCTG